TCACTGTCCCTGGCTGTCGCTCCCACAGGAAGAGGCTGAGGCAGGATGACTCCTAGGGCTCCCCCCGACCTCCACCCCCACTCTCAGGAGCAGGGAGCCCCTTGCTCACCTCTATTCCGATTTTGTAGGCCTGGAAGCCAAGTTTCAGAAGCACCTTCTCCAGGGAGCCCAGAATTTGGTGGTGGTGCTGGGTGGGTGGGAAGTGGGGGGTGGGGGCCCCCAGAGATATTTGGTGCCTTAGGGCAAGTAGGTGGGCTTGGTAGATCTTGGGGACACGCCCCCATCCTAGGGTGCCCTGTGCCAAGCCGCCACTGTCACACCACAGTGTCTCTTGTAGAGGTGTTCGTTGCAGACCCCTGGGCCTGGCGCTCTGAATTTTGCAGCAACTGTCCCCCTTGCATTCGTCTGGGCTCACAGCCCACCGAGGCCCCTGTAGGCACTGGAGGGGGCTGTTTGAGGGGCTTTGGAAGGAGGGAGGGCCCCCGAGTGCCCAGGGTGAGGAGGAGGCAGTAGCAGGAGGGAGGAAGGAAGGACCCTGTGGAGAAGCTCACTGAGGCTGGAGGGGACTCCGTGGGGTGCACCTGTCTCCCCCTTGGCTTGGCTGTGTGTTCTAGAAAGCGTGAGAGGAATCCAATCCAGCAAGTGGGGGGTCTAAACCCATTTTGGGGGGTTTTGGAAACGGGGAGGGCGGGGCGTGGGCAGCGGTGGAGCACAGTGCATGTTTGCATGAGCTTGGTGTGAGGACACGGGGGCGGGGGGGGGGGCTCCCACTTTGCATTTTACCATCTGGAAAGTGAAAGGCCTGGGTCTGCCGGGTCACAGGGCTGGTCTGGGAGGAAGGGGGGGGGCAGGTCTTCCCCCTTCCCTCCAGGGGCTTCCACAGGTGTGAGGCCTGGAGCCAAAGGCGGGGCGTGGGCGGGGGGGGGGGGGGCGGGCTGTGGCAACCTCCACCCTTGTACAAGGGTTCATCCTTTGCATGCTGGGCAGGGTCCCTGCCCCACCGGACCCCCAGCTCACAGGGGCTGTGGTCCGGCAGATGTGGGCTCCGGGACATGGCTTCCCCTCCCCCTTGCAGCCCTCTGGCTCTGCACTGCAAGGGGGGGGTCTCAGCGGGGCGCCCAAGCCTCACACAGCCTGATCTCCCCACCCCTCCCCTGCATCCTCTAATCTGCTTGCTGCCCACGTTTTCATAAGCCCCACGCCTGGGCCAGGCCCCCAATTGTGAGTGACAATGGCGCAGGCAAGGTCCGCAGCGGCTGCCCGGCCCTAGGACGATGTCAAGAGCTGCAAGCCCTCTCTCTCCCCCCTTCCCTCCAGGCCCCGTCCCTCTCCCTCTTTGTCCTGTCCCTGTGTCCCCTGTGCTGGGCAAGGGTAGGCTTTGAGTTCCTCCCCCACCTCTGGACACACCCACACCACCGCTGGTCCCCCCATCCCCATTCCCAGGCCAGACAAGTTCAGCTCCGCAGCGCCCCCCCCCCCCCAGCTTCCTGTCCCGCCTCCGCGCCCCGCAGTGTTGGGCCCTGCAGTCCCCACCCCCACAGACCGGCGCTGTCCCCCTCAGGTCCCCGCCCCCGCAGCCTCTGCTGCCGGCCGGCAGGTGCGTCAGCAACTGGGCCGATGGCACTTCATTTATTCAATAGCTCGGGGCCTGAAAACCAGCCGCTAAATTGCCTCCCATTTTCCCCAAGCCCATTAGCAACCAACGGCTGCGTTCCTGGTAATTCTGCTGAATACCCTGCCGGCGGGAGGGCCGCCGCCTCCACCTGCCCCTTCTTAGAAAAGCACCAACTTCTCCTGATGATGAAGCCTGGGCGCCGGACCCGGGGCCAGGCCCTCCCCCTGCCCACTCAGGCCTTTTCTCTGCTTTTAGTTGCTGACCACTCTGCTCTCTCCCAGCACCCCTCCCCCCGAAACCCACCCCCCTGGGTCCCCGAGGTGGCTCTCTTCTAGGCGCCCAAGGCCTGACCAGGGGTCACCCGGTGAGTTATAACAACAGCCAGCACCTTCCTTTCTGGAGGTGTGCCAGGTGGCACTGTGCCCCCCCACCTACATTAACATCCCCCCTCTGCCTTGCACTGGGGACCCCGAGTTGGGGTACCTGCTGGCCCCAGGACCTGACTCTTTTTCAGCTGAAAGTGGGAAAGGTGCTGTTAGGAGCTGCCAGGTGGCCGTCGGGAGATAACATATAGAAGGGCCCTATGGTGGGCATCCTCCGGCCCCGGGCACTCATCGCGAGGGGCAGAGGTGATGATCTGCGGGTCTTCCGCCCCAACCCTGCAGATGGGCACCCAGAGGCCATTATCTGACCCGGACCTCCTGGGGTCTCACGCCTGTGTCCTTCCTGGCCTTGCAGGCTGCTAGGGAGAGCGTGGGCATGGCTATGTGCACGGGGCGCACACGAACCACCAGGTAGGTGGCAGCTGATGCATGAACTACTCATCCACACGAAGGACCATTGTCTTGTTATAGGTAACAAAGTGCCAAGGAGCTAGGAAAGGCCGGCGAGCCTGGCTGGGATCCCACTGCAGCCACCACGAGGTCTCCTGCAGCTGGGTGATGCGGGTGGGGGCTGGGGGGGAGAGGGGAGGGCACACAGCTGCCGTTTCAGGCTGGGGGTGCTCTCTGGGGACCACACTGTACTGTGCACATGTGAGGCAGGGAAGCTGGAAACCATGGCTGTTGGGCATTGGAGGGACCGATGAAGTAAGCCCCGAGGGGAGGGGGTCTGCACCATCTCTTTGCCCCCAGCCCTGGGAAGAGGCAGCCTCAGTACAACCCAGGGACACCCCCACCCCCACCCTCACCCCTCCAGTGTACTGTGCAGCCACCAGCCCCCTTCCTCCTGGTCTGGCCTCAGGGAAATGTCAGCGCTGAGAGGGAGATGCCAAATGAAAGGTGACAGCGCAGGAGACGAGCAGCAGCCCGACCTGACTCAGCCAGGGCTCTGTAGGGAAGGGGCCCTGGGCCCCACTTCCTGGGACCAAGACACCCCTAAGACCAATGATTGCCCACAGCCCCTCTGAGGTGTCTGCTCACATCATCCTCCTTCTTGGGGGGAAAAGCTGGTGTATAAGAAAGGACTTGGGAATTCCGTGTCACATTAACTGATTCAATCGCACCCATTTTACAGATGAAAACACTGAGTTCCAGTGCAGGCAAGTGACTCCCCAGGGCTAACTCGGAGCCAGGATCCTGACAAAGTTTGTGTCCAGATCTGTGCTGTTCACCAGGACCCTCTCTGGTTGGTCTGAAGGCAGCACCCAGCTCCTGCCTGGCACACAGTAGGAGCAGAGCCAGAGAGATTGGCTGTTGTGTCAATATTAGGTGGGCTAGCTCCAGGGGGACTGTGATGAGGGAGGAGGGACAGGATGGGGACCTGGTAGGAAAAGAACCTGCCCTTCCTCCTCCACCCCCACCCCAATCTAGCCCCTCAGCACAAGTTTTGGGAGTGAGAATGAGTGATGGGCTTTTGGGTGAGCCAAGATGGCTTGTGGGACTGGGAAGGTGGCTGGGCCTTGGGGACCGCCCTGTCCACCCCCTACAACCACCCCAAGAGGTGACTTGAGCGAACCACAGACCCCCACACTAACAGATCTATTCACATGGGGGCCCAGAGCTCCCAGAAGGCCCGCCCACATCAAGGGACCCTCAGCACCCTCTGTGACTTCCTACAGAGCTTTGCTTGGGATCCGGACACAGCTCTGAGCATATTCCTGGTTCTGTTTTGGGGTGCCTTCAGAAGTGAGGGAGCAGACAGGGAGGGCACAGCCCCTGGACGCTGGGGCTAGCAGCGAGGGATGGTCCCGGGGCCAGGGTGAGTCAGGTTGCAGATGCACTGTGACGTCAGGATCTGTGGGGACCCTTCCCATCCATGGGCCATCATGAGGGAGCCCCCAGTTTAATGAGCACCAAGTCAGCTCACTTCGCCGCCCCTACCAGGTGTGTCCATTTGTGGGTGAGGAAACCGAGGCTCGGTGCCAGTGGGTGACAAAGGCTGGACTGGAACCCAAGGCCTCATCCGGAGCCCACCCCACAGACCCCATCCTACTCGGTTTTCTATTTTTACCAAAGCATCCCGTCAGCATCCCCCACCGGGCATACACGCCCAGCTTGCCTTGGAAAGGCACCCTCATGCCCCGTCCCAGACCCAGTCACGTTCACGGGGTTTTCCAAAGGTAGACTTTGCTCAACCAAGGGGCCCTGGAGGAGAGGGGGTGCTGTGTGGGGAGTGGCCGGAGGTTCGAGGGTCATCCCAGCAGCTGGGCTCACCCGAGGTCTGTGATGAGGGCCATGATCCCGCGGATGGACGGTCGGGACCAAGGAAGGCTTGGGGACAGTCCATGTGAGGACCACGGGGGGCTGCAGAGGAGGCGGGGGAAGGTGCCCCCACCCAGAGCCCTCCGCAAGATGGTGGCTGCCTGCCTGCCTGCCTGCCTTTGTGTTTGCTGCAGAGCTGGGGGGCAGTGGAGCTGCGCCCCCCGCACCCCCCACCAGCCGGCCCAGACCCAGGCGGGGGCGAGCGCAGGCGGGTGGGCAGCTCTGGGGAAAACAGTGAGTCACCGCGGCCAGGCGAGCGCGTCCTTCCGCTGCGCTGGTGGCAGGTTTCATAGGTAATTATGTAATTTACGAGGCTCTCGCTCGGGGCCCTCTGAGTCAGCCGGCTGCGTCAAGCGGCTGCATCGTGACCAGGCGGAGGCTGGCAGAGCCAGGCGTGGGCACCGGCTCTGACCCTGGGCCCCGGCCTCGGCCCCCGGTGGGAGGAGTGACGCAGCGGCTAGGGGAGTCATCTCAGACTTCAGACCGCCAGGAAGTTTGTCTTTTTATGGCCCTCGCTTCCACCTGGAAATGTGGGCTCGCAGGCAGGGGGGCGCCGCAAGGAGACCCCGCCTTTGGAAGATGCCCCCTGCCGAGGGCCCCTCGTGAAGGCCCGGGACCTTTGTCTTTCACGCTCCCGCTTACAGCCATCTCCGAACACAGAGACACACGAAGAGATTGCGTTCTTTTATCTTGTGGGTTTATTATTCAAACAGGCTGACAACAGTCCGAGGGGCTGAAAAGGCGGAGCGGGACCCCTCTGTCCTTCCCGGTCGGGGGTCGGTGGCTCTTTCCTTGGAGTTTGTCACTCAGGACGCCTCCCCGCGCCCTGGGTCCCCCCCATGCCCACAGTCCTCCCCAGTCCACAGAGAAGTCCAGCCTGTCCCACACGGAGGGACCGCCCTGGGCGCTCAGTCAGGTCCTTTAAGCGGTGGCTGTGGGTGGGGCCTGTCTTCCTGGCGAGGCGGGAGAAGGCGCTGGTCTGGCCGCTGTGGGTCCCATCTCCAGGAGCAGGGGCCACTGTGGAGTCCAGTGGAGCAGGAGATGGGAGGAGAGGGCTCGGAGCAAGCAGGGCCTGCGAGGGAGGCAAGACAGGACAGCGTCAGAAGGACGCAGTGGTTTCCCGGGGCCCCCTAGTAGCACCCCGCCATTCTCATCACAGGGCCCCGCTGATGGGTCAGAGCGACACGGGCAAGCCCCCTACTTCCCTCTGCCTCAGCTTCCTCACCGGGCACCCACCATCCTGGACAGAAAGGCGATGCAGACACCGGGCCCTCGGGGTCTCAGGCAGACCTCCCCTCTTTGCCTTCCTTGGACCCTTCCTCTTCGCACCACCCCGCGCCCCACTCAGACCCCACCCCATCCTCTCTTTCCTGGCTAAAATCTGCCGCAGACACCATCACACCCGGGAAGAGATAAATAAATAAAAGAAAAACAACCTCAACTGTGAAAAGCGGTCCAAATCTAAAAATTTTCCGGCCTGAGTTAATTACACTTTAAATTGGCATGTTTACTGATCGGGGATTTCAAGTTAACAGAGACACCCCCCCCCAACTGTTAGTACAGTAAAACTCAGCAGGCTGGCGGGCTCCCCCAGGCCTTGGCAGGCCCCGCCGCACCCCTGCCAACAACGAGCATAACAGAAACATCTATTTTCGAGCGTTAGAGAAACGAAGCTCTCACAGATGGCGAGAGCCGCACCCTGGACGGTTTCCCACCCCCAGGCTCCGTGCCCCCCTCAGCGGTGTCCTGCCCCAGGGAAGGCCATGTGGGGCCGGCATGGAGCTTTGGGCTGGGGCAGGAGGCCCCGTTTCGGTCAGTCATTCACTCCACAAACGCTGTTTGGAGCCCAGAGTCAAGTGGCATCGGCCCTAAGAACAGGGTTGGCTCTCCCTAGAGCCGGCGTGCCCCAGGCAAAGCCCGCTCTGCTCCAGGCCCACATGGGAAGAGCCTAGTGGTCCCCCTGACAGGCACTTACCAGACCCAAGGATGATCCGCGGTCAGGCCGGGCTCCCAGCCCAGGTCACTCCCGGCAGAAGTGGTCTGGTCTAGCTTTCGGCTCATGGCTGGGATCGACCGAAGGCTCCACCCATTGGGGATGTCCCTGCCAAGTGTCCGGTCCCGTGTGCCTGCGAAGAGAAGACAGGGCCCATGAGCATGGCTCGGCACCTCCCCTGGGCTAGCTTCCGTCCCGGGCACAGGGGCCCCAAAGGGGCTAGCAGGGAGGTCGACACCTGTTGATCACAGGGTCATAGGGCTGACATCTGACTGCAGGTTGAGGCTGTTTGTGTGTATTGCGGTGGATCAGGGAGGCTTCCTGTAGGAGGCGGCACTGGGGCAGAGTCCGGGAGGGTGATGAGGGAGGGGCAGTCCAGGCAGGGGTGCCGCTTGAACAAAGGCATGGGAATAGGTATGAAAACAACAAATGAGGGCACGAGGTGGGCTTTCAGATGTCCCCCTGCCTCGGGATCATGCCAGGAGAATGCAGGGTCCCATGTGGGTCCTGCGGCCATAATGGCACCAAAGTCCTGCCTGGGCTGGGCACGTGGCCCTGTGTGGCTCCTGTCCTCTCTGCCTCTCCAACCAGGGCCTCAGGATGGACCTGCCTTCTCAGCCAGCGGGCCTGCCCTTCCCCAGGGCCCCCCCTCCCCCACCAGCCCTGCACTGTCTCCGTGACGGGTAGTAAGGCTGCGTGTGTGCGGCCCCTTCCACGTCTCTGGATAATGAGAAAATGATGAACGAGCCTCCATCACGCCCTTACTTCCTGGCCCTCGAGCCTGTCCACCGGTGACAAATGGCACCTCTCCCTCCGCGGGGTCTTTCCTGGACGGCAGAGCCTTGGTGGAGATTTATGTCCATCTTCCCTGAATTCTTCTTCGTTTCTCTGCTTCTTTATTCCCTCCAAGAGCACACTGTTATTTATTCATTCCACAAACGTCCTCCCAGGGCCTCCTGGGGGTAAAGAGATCCGATTCAATATACCCTCACATCTTGAACACCTACTTTGTGCTGGTGTCTGTGGCCAGCTTTGAGCCGGGCATTAGCTGAGCACCTACTATGAGCCGGCTGGACAGTCCAAGCCATGGCTTCCAGAAGCTCTACGGCAGGGTGGCAGTGAACATTCAGGGACTGAATCCCACGTGCTGACCTTAGCCCTGGGTGCCTAGTCACCCTGGTTTTTACAAGGAAGGAAAATGCCTATTTGCCAGGTGTGTGGACCGAGGCCGGATCTGTGCGGTGCCCCGAGGTGGCCCCAGTCACCTCCATCCCTGCCACTGTGAGGAGACATTTCCATTCGGCCTGGCGGATGAGAGAGGCCCTTTGTTTATTTGCTTTCATCCTCCAAACAGTAGATAAACCAGCAATTTGGCTTTTAATGAAATTCTGCGCCGAGCAGTATGGGGTCACCCTCTTCGGGTTTAAAATGAGTTTGGGACATGCACGCTGCCGAGCGCCTGGTCCCCTGGGCTGACATCTGTCTCACGCCTGACTCCCAGGTGGGGGCTGATGTACCCCATGCTCCGCCCGGTGGTGGCCTGGGAGACTCGGGGGGCGCCGTGCTTTTTATTGCTGCGGCGTGGGGACGGATACATTGGAGCTATTAAATAAGGCCGATGTTGCCTCCCACCCCCCGCACACATGTAATATATTCCGAAGATGTGTGGATGCATTAACAGCAATTTTCGTCTCCAAATGTCCCCATTTAGTCAGTTCCATGCATAAAATATTAGCTCTGACACCGGGCTCCTGCCTGTTGCAGATGGAGTTCCCCAGAGAACGGGCCCCGGGCGCCGGAGGATTGGCTGGGATGTTGGGGGCTCCACTGGTTGTCTGCTGGGTTATACTGGGACTCGCCACTCCCTTCGGGATCCCCTGGAAAGTGGACAGGAAGCCCAGGCCCACCTGACCGATCCCTGTGGCCTCAGGCTCTCCAATGACACCCTGAGAGGGGCAGAAAAGGGGGAAAACCGGACAGCTTTGAACAAACGGGAAGAATGTTAGCCTAAGAGCTGATTACCATGTGCTCGCGCTCCTCACCACACCTCAGGCCTCCTCTGCCTCCTCTGCCTCCTCTGCCTCCTCTGCCTCCTCTGCGCAGGGCACTTACCCAGGGATGAGCCTGAGAGGCCCCGGAGGTCCTGAGTTCCTTAGTCAGGGAATAAACACTCACAGTTGCTCTACCCTGGGCCTGGCCTGTGCCCCATGGCAGGGGACAGAGCAGGGACAGGACAACTTCCTGCCCTGAGACCTGAGAGACCGTGCAGTCTGCTAGGGGTGGCAGTAAGCAGGGACAATACAGCAATGGGCAGCCGGAGAGTTCCTGCCCCACCCCCCTCAGAAAGGGCTCCCTGCGGCCCAGGCCACCAGGAACAAATACCAAATGGCCTTCCTCCGCCTTTGGAGGTGCTCTGGCGGTTCGCCTTTCCAGAACCTTCTCTACCAAAGTGACCTTGATGTGGTCTGGGCAGGGCCGGGCCCGGGGAGGGTGGGGCTGCCCAGCGCAGGGGACCCTCTCTCTCCACGCCCCCCCGCCCCCCGAGCACCCATGCCTGCAGCCAGGGGCTCTGGAGCCAGGGAGACCGCTCCGCGTGCTTTCAGGAGCCCTCCGCACAGGATGGAGCTGGAAAATTAATAGACGAGGTGGCCCAGGTCCGACGCCAGGGCCTTGGGACCCCGACGCAGAGGCTTCCGCCGCCTGGGGTCAGCACTCGAAGGGAAGGTCGTCCCCGGCGGGATTCGATACCGGAAAGAGGTTGACTGTATAATATTCATCGTATAGACAGTGAACACCTCACAGGCAACCTCTGTCAGGTACCAGGCGCAGAGCACTCCCGACGGAGGCTTCTTCCTCGTGCGGCAGCCCCGCCACCCGCCACCCTCCCGCCCGCTGCCATGGGATGGCCCAGTTCCATGGGATGCCAGTGGGCACAGGCTGGGCCCTCCTGGGCCGGTGGTTGTGCAGGAGGCATGCGAGGCGGGATGGATACTAAAGAGGTCGGCTGTGTATTGTGCGTCAGGAAGCATGCGAACGCTCACGCACAGCAAGCAGCACCCCGCTCTTCCCCGAGGGCTTAGCCCGCCTGGGGTCTCCGAGGCAGAGGGATGAGAGGTGCAGGCCATGCCCGTGTCCCCGCGGAGAGACACCCTACAGAGGGGCAGATGCCCGCTCCCACGGAGGGCCTTCAGGGAGCCCTCTGACTAGTGGCCCTGGCATGGAAACAGACTGAACATGCATCATTCCTCACACTTGAAGCAATATGCTGCATGCCCGGACTCCCCCACGCACCCCTCCCGCCTGCTCCCCAAGGTCCGGGAGCCCCCAGGTAGCTCTCCCAGGATGGACTCGGCGAGACATGTCAGCACGGATGAGAGAAGTCACACGCGGAGCCCATGCAGTCACGTACCCCGCAGGAGGCCAGCCTCGGGCCTGGCCCTGCGCGCGAGTAGGTGGTACTGAAAATAGGCCATCTGTGTTATATTCGTCATTAATAAAGCGAACTCATCACAGACAACCTCTCCTCAAGTACCCAGAGTGACGATGCCGATTCAGAGCCGTGGCCGTGGCCGTGGCCACCGCAGCACCGCTGGTCACCTCCGGGAGCAGCCCTGAGGGTGAACCAGACACCACAGGTGAGAGGACACAGGGCAGGCAGCGCGCCCCGCCCCGCCCCGCCCCGCCCCGCCCCGGTCTCCCTCCCGCCCTCGGGGCAGTGGCACGGAAGGCCCTCCCCACTCCTACCCCCACAGGGCTCCATCTCCGAGAGGTCCTCCGAGGTGCGATTTGATACTGAGAAAAGATCAACCATGTATTATTCGAAGTCAAGAAAGCGAATATAACACGGTCGATCTCCCTTCAGGTACCAGCAGAGGTGCTGAGCGCGGGCGGCGGCCGCGCCCGGCGGGGCCGCAGGCGGCAGTGGATACGGACGGCTAGTGGACCAGGTGAAGTACATTAGAAACAATTACTTTCCAACTGGTCGACCACCCATCCTGTACCCCAGAGCGGCGCCGATCCCGACGTTCTTCCCCGAGGTGCCGCGGCCTCCCGGGCGGCCTCTGTGGTGCAGTGTGATACCGAAAAGGGGTTCACCGAGCAACATTCGTCGTCTGGATGCAAAGTTGCTCGGGTAACCTCTCCCCAAGTACCATGGACGCTCAGATGCTCGAGGCGGATGCTTCCAGGCGGCTGTGCTTCTAGAAGACCCTCCCCAAGGGCCCTGGAGCACTGCGCGTCGGACCTGCCCACTCTACAGGGACCCCCGCTCCCCGCAGGCCAAAGCCATCCTGTCCCCCGAATGAGCCGCATCTAGAGACCGTTCCCAGAAGTTACGCGGGAGATCCAGATGGGATCCGCTCCTGAAAGGGGTGCCAGCGTCACATCCAGGAAGGGCACCGAATAAGGGCCTGGCTGCAGGGTCAGGGGCAGAGGACGTGGGCACAGCAGGATCTGGATTCTGCGCCCACCACCCATGCTGCGAGCTGTGGAGTGACTGACAGTTCAGCGACCGCGGCCGGAGGCCCCACCTAGGAAGGAACACTGTGGACAGCTGCCCTGCGGGAGGCGCGGACACTGACCTGCCGCGGAGATGGTCCCCGAGCTGGCATGGTCTCCGATGGCACACGTACCAGGCCACACGGGTCATCAACACTCGGGCGTGTCCCGGGGCTGCGCCCAGGCACCTATTTGGGGGAGGGCTCGACCTGCTGGCCACCTCCTGGGCAGCAGGGCTCTGCGAGTCCTTCAAAGTGGGGACTGATCTGCAAAGAGACCCACATGCAATGTTTGTGCCAGACAAGGACAAGCACTTTCCTCATCCCAGGCAGTGGCTTTGATCCCAGAAGCCCCCACCCAGGAGACCCTCCCCCCCCAACAAGGCTCAGCCTCTACAACAAGTGACAATCAGCACCAATGAGGAACATGTCCGTGGGGTCAGCATGACCCATGTCAGGTGCCAACACTGGGTTCAAGGAGGGAGATGCTTGGGGATGGCCAGCTTCCCATGTGCCCTTCAGGCCGAGACCCCACTCACCCAGGCATTTCTGTCCCACTCTGGAGTCAGCATGTCACCCCAAACCCCACGAGGGATAGAGGGAGCAGACCAAGATGGCGCGTGCTTGCCTCAACACGCACCCCACTTCACCGGGGGTCACCCCGAAGTCAGCACGTCCGTCTGGGAGGTGTCCTGGGAAGACCTGGGACAGAAAGAAGAGGTCAATGGCGTAAAGGACACTGTGTCTGACTCCAAGTGTCTACTGACCGTCTGCTCCTCGCCAAACACCCGTGAATGCAACGGTCTTAATGAGATTTGTGCCAACACTGATTTTCATAAAAATGTGTTTTTCAGAGTGAATTCCATTAAACTAATCCAATTCCCTGTTTCGTTTCCCTGACTGTGCTGTTGAGCTGTTTTCATTTCTTTTATTTCCCTTGTTATTTCCCCCAAATCATTTTCATTAGGATCAATTCTTTTCCATTTAAAAATCTGAATGCAGATTCGCGGTTCCTGCATGTACTTTTGTCTACATCAAACAGCGCCGTCCAGAGCCCCCGCCAGCGTCAATTTCCTCCCACGGCCGCCATGTCTACCGCGTCCCATTTCCCCAGGTCAGATGTGCCGCTGACATGTTGTCAAGAAAATTGGATTCTTCTGCCAATTTGTAGTCAATTGAACATGTTTTACTTGGTGCCATTTCATTTGTTTTTAGTTTTATTTTGTGTTGATTATTTTTATCACTATAATTTGATACAAATGGGACGAAATACTGATAGCGTCTATTCATTTCATAACCCATGAGAAAATAGAAAATGCTGTTTGGCAGGGGGAGAGAAAGCCAGAGAGAGAGCGAGAAACAAGGAGGCAAGGAAACAAATCAGAGACAGACAGAGCGAACACAGGGGGGTTTGAGCGGGGCGGGGGGGGGCGGGGGGGGGTGGAGAGAGGAGAAACAGAGAATTGAGAAGCCGCAGTCTTTAAAATGGTTGAGGGCAAACTCTTTCCCACAAGGTCAAAGTAGCTCCGGAGAAAAAGAGGTGGAGGCAGAATGACTTTGGGATCAATGGTCAAAACGGAGACGCAAAGAGGGTTCCAAGTCCTAAGCAAAGCAGGCTCACCATCCTCACGTGCCCAGGCGACCACATCAGGAATCCCACTTGCGTTCTCTGATCACCTTCGTCTTGTCCACTGGAGAGGTGCCGACACCCACATCTACACCCGAGTCTACACCGTCCAGTCGTGTTCTTGGGAGAGGCGGGCGGGGTCCTGGAAGCCAACCCAGAAGGATTTGATACTCAAACAAAAATGGATAAAGCAAGTGAAATCACCAAGGGCAACCTCTGGTCAAAGATCAAAGGTCAGCACGGGGGCGCACACCAGGCACCATGGAACCTGTCTTCAAACACCTTTGCTTCTCACTGCCCGGGAGCCTCCCCTCACCGCCCTGGAGTTAGCGTTGAGTCCCAGAGGTCACCCTGAGGGGGCGGACACGGGGTGGGGCTGGGGCGGTAACATGTTGCATAAGTCTTGCCGATCGGGCTGTTGGCTGACCAGACAATTTCCCAGACGATTTCCCCCTAAAACAAGGTTACCCACCAATATACTCTGTTCACTTGTGAGACTCCAAGGAAGGGAGGCAACCATGACCTGAAAACCATGGTCTCACCTAAAAAGTGAGGAATTCGGGGCCAGCAACACAAGTTCCACATAAAGCACTTATCGTGGGTGAAACGACCGCTTCCTTACCCTGGGCAGGCGCCGGCGGAAACGTTCCTGAAGTTTTCCCGAGAAGAATTTAGTACTGAAAGGAGATTGGCCATGTAATACTCATCATGAATAAAATGAACACACCATGGACAACCTCCATTCAAGTACCAGACAAGGGTGCAGGCTTCGATGCAGCCCCGGCAACAGGCCCGAGGACGGATGCTGTTAACGCGCCGGCGGTCACACACAAGCTCTGTGGGCCACCCCCTTTCTGTTAAGTCCCGACGGAGTGCCACCCAGGGTCCTTCGAAATGAGTACCCCCATCCAGGAAGCCATTTAGGGAGCAACACACTGCAACCAAGGTACGCAGAGAATTGCATGCCACACACACACACACACACACACATACACACACACACACACACAGGCAGGATGCCCTCTTGTCAATCATGAAGCGGTTCTACAGTGAGACCCCCTCCTCTTCAAGGAGACTGGCATCCTAGCAGCAAACAACACACAGCTTTGGGGGCAAGGGGACATCCATGGAGGACATGCCCACGCTCAGCTTGACCATGCATGCACACGCGGAAACCGAATGCTAGTTCCTGAAGTTGGCGTCTCCGGGATACGTCGCGGCCAGATCTGGTACTTGAAAACAGGTCTACCATGTATGATTCAGCTACTAGTACAGTGAATGCATCATGGAAGACCTCTCCTCAAGGACCACCAAGTCACTCTGGTGAGCGAAGCACCACTTCTTCCCCCAGGTTGGCTCCATGTCCAGGAATCCTCCCACGGAGGGGGCAGAGAGCATCTGGAAAGTGCATGCTCTGCAGTCGGCGGTCCACAGTCCCTCTGCCCACCCCAGAGAGAACCCACACCAAGGTCCCGCCCTCCAGTGGGACTCCGCCCCAGGAAGCCTCCCAGGCAGGATTTGGTACTAAAAACTAGGTGAACCATGGAGGATTTGGGACAAATAAAGTGAAGGCAACACGGATAACCCATCTCCGCACACCGCCCATTAGCCGCGACCAGGCGCCAGTGCCTCTTCTCCGAAGCCGGGCTCCCCCAGGAAGTCCTGCTGAGGAGAGAGTGAACACTGAGGATTAGTCAACTAACCGATGGTGGTGTTCAGCTGACCCATCCCAGACCCTACAGCAGCCCAGACATCGACACCTGTGCTGTCCTTGGTGGGGTATCTAAGAAGCACTCCCAGGGGTTTTAACGTGGAGAGGTCAAGTGCATAAGAATGCATTATTCTGATCATAGGAGGGAACATGTCTTCCTTTCCCATCAGATCACAGCGGATAGCAGTGACCCTTTGCTCACACAGGACGTGTGTCCAGGAAACCCTCCAAAGGTAGAGCTCGTCCCAAAGAGGCTGACTTTGCAGTACTAACCATAGAGGCAATGACGGCATGGAAGGCAAACATTATCATCCCATGGTACTGACCTGGGGATGGTGGACTCATCTCCAAAGGTGTGCGTGACTTCCAAGATGTCTCCCTAAAAATAAATTGCGTTCTTGGGGTTAATAGTCCAGTATACATATGGTCAAAAAAAAATCCTCCATTCCTAAAGGTAAATTCACATACCTAGCCAATGGGACCGACTCCATTTCCATCCCAGAAGCTGGCACTGCAAAGAGGATCCTGCCAAGGTGCAAGTCGATCCTGGGGGCGGGTCATCTGGATACGATTCATGTTAAATAGACAGATGCAGATTGCAAATGATAACAGAGAGGCTTCCAAAGAGAGATGGCAGCATGGGGCCAGATCACAGGTTCTTTCCTCTTCCAGGGCATAATGAAGTAATAAATTATCATTTAACTCAAGACCAGGATGTAAATAGAAAAGTACTCATAGAAGTAATAGAAGAAGACATCCTTGAAACAAAGGAACGACGAACTAATATGATTCAGAAAAACTGATTAATTAAAAAAAATTAGTGACTGAGTCAGAGCCTGGCCAAGAGCGAAGAGAGAACTTTCTCCTCCACAAACACGGGTAAAAGCCGAAGTCGACTGGTAAAATAAGTGCACAGCTGAAAGGAATGAAAGGAAGGGAAACCCTCAGCTGGCTAATAAAGAAAGAATTTAATTCAGAGCGACAAAGTTGCAACCTGCCACCAAGAGGCTCGAAGAGTCTGTAGTCACAATCTCCAAGCAGGAACTGGAGATGTGACCTGGGCCCAAGAGCAGTGGGCACCTAGAACAGAAAGGGGGGGGCAGACAGCTATACAGGCCCAGAAAAATGACAAGAAAGCTTGTTTCTACCTAAGCTTTGGCTAGAACGAGCTCTCCTGGGAGAAACAAAGCTACAAGAGAAAGATGGGGTGAGGCTTTACAACAGCCAGAAGGTATGGGAATCCTCAAGTCAACAAATAAGTAAGAAAACTGGTCCCAACTGGTGAAAGCCATGGGTGCCAGACAGAATCCAATGTAGAACCATATGTCACAGTTCTTTTGCACAGAGAATGAAATAAAACAGAAACACCTTAACCCTCCTGATAACCCACATTGAGAAGTTACAAACCCCATGGAGAAAAGCACTACCTTGAGTCAAAAGACAAAAAGAGAAGGACTTGTACCCCAAAGCTGAGAGACTTTATATCAAAAGTATCTTTAAAGCAACTAAAATAATTAAAAAGAACAAGAAATCATAGGGTTGAAGAGAATAGTGTGGAATAAAATTAGGCAGATGAGTAAAGGTGTCCAAGCAAGGGTCAGACATCCTCAGTGAATAAAGGCCTCACAGAATATAGTGCCCCAAAGTGTTTGAAACAAAGAATATAAGGATACACCAGATAATACAGTCCAGATAAGTAAGAGCTATGTGGAGAAGCCACATCAAAAGAGCTGGTAAAATACCAAATGCAGAAGACAGTGGAGCAGTATCTAAACAAGTCTATGAAAAAAAAAAAGCAAGCTGAGAATTTTATACCTAGCAAAATTGTCCCTTGTGTGGCAAAAGCAAGAGACAGATATTCTCAAATGTACAAGAACTAAGAGGAAGTGTCCATGAGCCACTGTAGAATGAACAATGGTAATATCCATTCCCCTGAGGAATAAATTAAAACTAAAAACTCAGGAACAGAGAAGGCTTAATTTAAGGAGAGAAAACTGGTGGTTAGTAATGACTTCATTTAAATATATAACTATGATAAAACACCTGCAAGAATTGTGGTTAAAGAACAAAATGCAAATATTTATCATGGAAAAATTAAATTGTATGAGTGAAAATCAGGCAAGAGGTGGGGCGAAGTGTAAGAGTGCTGATATCCTTACATTTCTGAGCTAGCAGTGAAATTTGAACAGTTAAAAAAAACATAAGGATCCCAATCACAATTTTACACAATTCTTGGTTTCATAGGGATCTTTTAGGAATTAAGATTTCTTATGGTAAAATAGGACATTTATCAATTCTCCCAATCTCCTTCAGATTATCTTTATGTTAAATTCAAGTAAAATTATAGTTAACATTTTAAATAAAAATATCAGGTACAGTGTAATATAATATTCATAAAATATTTTGCTTTCTATTTATCTATCTATATTTCTATTTGCATATATGCTCAGACAGGTATTTGAAATTTCTAAGGCACTGATAGTTATTTCTGGGTACACAAAGAATTGGGAAATTTTCTCCCTTTTTATTTACATTTTCCCACATTGCATGAATTTTTATTATAAGCATGTCCCATTTTTATAATTATGATAATTAGGTAAAATAATAATTCTTTTTGAAAAACAAAACAAAATAAAAACAAGACATTGAAAATAGAACTGACCTCCATCCTCAAATTTCGTATGGCTTCCAGGTCGACAGCTGTGAATCTGTTCATTCACTTTATCCAGAGCATTTGATGAAATCATGCCCCTCCCCTGACTCTGCTAACATCTCTAAGAAATCCTCCCTCCAAGACGAGATTTAATACTGAAAGGGGAGGGGATTATCTATTGTGTTTCTTAAAAAAAAAAAAATCCCAGAATCATCATGGACACCCTTAGCTCCCTAGGTCTTAAACCCCCAAATGGGCAATGTCTTCCATAAAAAGACTGAATGAGGATAAGGGGCACTAGAGACACCAACCCAGTAGTTCCAGGGCCAAGCACAAGTTCAAGTACACTGGCATGGAACCAACATGAGTGTGGCTCCCCTGAAATTGGAATCAGTTCCTAGACGATACCCGGTGAGATGTGGTACCAAAAAGAGATCGACCGTGTATTGGGCATCACTAAACAATGCGAACTCATCACGGACAACCTCCCTCCGAGTACCATGAGGTGGAGCCACTCACAGCATCCCTGCATCCATGGAGCTGGGCAGCTTGGGAGTAGCCTCTGAGGGCGGATGGGACACTGAGGATGAGTGAACCAATGGGTAAATCAAACCCATGCTCTCGGGCAAACCCCTGGTTCATCAACCCAGGATTAGTGTGGACAGGAATGCTACTTCCTGTACTTGGCTGGCATGCAAGCAATACTCACTAATGCAAAGAAGTCAGCCACTGATGAGTCATTTTCAATGAAGCAACGAGCTTTTGAAAGACCACAAGGTTGCACTGCCTCCTTGGTAAACCTGGGATCACCCCAGGAGTTCCATGGAGGATGTGGGGCTACAGGCTAGTAAACCAGGGGTCATGCAGGTCCTACTCCTGTTCTCGCCTATATCCTAAGAGCTTACTAAAAAAAAAGATACTTCTACATGCCCCTTCAAGGTTGGTTGGATTTGATAGCAAAAAAAAGTCAGCCATATGCACTTCAATGTTAATTTCTTTAAAAGTTAGGGCATCCCCACAACCTCTCTAGCTTGTCCTAAAGTTGGTCGAGCCCCAGGAAGTTGCGCAGACATTGGGTTAGTGCGTCAGTAGCGTGCATCCTCAGGAAAGCACTTGCCGAGAGCTCAGCCAGCCAGCAGGGCACATACCTCGCCATCAGCATTAGCTCAGGCAGCCCTCCGAGGCAGAATTTGATACTAAAAGAGAGGAGAGCCGTGTATGACTCGCTTTGATGAATCGAATTCATCACGGCCAGCCTCTCTCCAAGTACCATAAGTGAATGCTGGCGAGCAATCCATCGTCCCTCTGGCTGAGGCGCTGCCCTCCCCGGAGCCCTGTAAAAAAGGGGTGGAACCATATTGGGTAGTGGGCCGAGTGACATACTACTACAGTTAATCGCATGCTCACCCGAGACGCACTTACCCTAAGCAGGTGGATGCGGTTCGTCTGTTTCGCCAACAGGGGCACCGTTCGACAGCTGCCATGAAGTCAGCATGCCATGGTATCCCTTTGGCTCTTAATGAACCACGGCCAACTCCTGTGAAGACACAAGATGTGAGGGTTAGGGGCCTGGGTGCCACACCTCCTAAATAAAGCGCATGCTCTGTGAACAGTCACACACCATGGAGAGGAGCTGGCCCGCTCGCTTCAGGTCACTCGTCAGAAGGCAATGTCACGTCCCAGGAGCGCTTCAAGGAGGCTGCGATAGTGACAGCGATAACATGGTTACCACGGGATGACTCGTCACATTTTAAGTGAACACACCCTCCCAACCACGGCTGTCCAGGTCCACCAAGCGGCCATTGTCACCAGTCCGTTGCCGCTTGCCCCAAGTGGAAAAGACCTCCCACAAGGTCTTCCTGGGTGGGTGGGGTGGGTGCTGGGGGTTGGTGACTAGGTGACCCACAGGGGGAACAGAGTGCTTGCCCCTCTGGTCACACACCCTGGACGGTGCTGACACCAGCATCTCTTCGGGAAGTTGGCTTTGGGCCCAGGCAGCCTCTCTTCAAAGTCGTGGAGGGTGACTCTGTTGACAGAACCAGAGCCATTTCCTCTGAGTCGGCATGGCCCAGGGGAAAGCCTCCTACAGATGGATCGGATGTTCGGGCTAGTGGACCAGATGACTTACAGATGGTCGAGCAGGGTGTCCCTGGTCAAGCATCCGCTATCTTCTCCACGTGGCTGACAACATGAAGACGCCATCCTGAAGTTCCGCTGTGTCCAGGAAGTCCTTAGAGGTAGCATTTGGTACTGAAAAAAGTGTTGTCCGTGAATGATTCGTCATAAGTAAAGCGAATCCACCACGAACAACTTCTCTTCAAGTACCACAGAAAAGCAGAGACCAGACAGACAAGGGGTCCCCTTCCACTTCTCTGAGGGGCGTGGCCTCCAACAGCTGTCCTGTGGGCAGATTGGAAAGTGTTAGTGAGATGGCTGATGTATGTCCTCAGAACACATGGGAGTTGGGGGGGAGGGTCATCCACTCACCTCTTCTGGAGGGGTGCAACACCGCCCCCTGCCCTGGAGTTGAAACTGTGTTCCTGAGTCATCAGGGGCAGCATATTAGACATGAGAAGAGGGAGGCCACTGTGGTCCTTCACAATGTGAACTTGTCACAGGAGTTCTCCGCGTGTATGTGAACCTGAGAGTTTCTGAACAGGGACCTTGGACTTCTCAACAGAACACACTCAGTTACCCATCAGCACAGGGAGGTACTAGCCAAGCTCCTTCATGACTTACGGGATCCACTGAATCAGGGGAGCTCAAGAGAGAGCACCATGGCCACTGCAGGGTGGATGACCAAGCTCTTCACAATCCCAGGAGACCCCCAGTCGCTTCCCATCTCCTCTGCTTCACCACCTACCTCACCCCAATAAACCATCCAAGAAAGCAATTCCAAGATGGATGCCATCAAAGTCACTGACCCACCCTCTCCCAAACAAGCTTGGACCAGTAGGACAAGGTTCCATTCACTACTGCCAGAACCCAGTCCTCATGCCTAAAGGATCAACGTGAGAACCCATCTCCCCACCCTTCCTCCACGCCCCCAAGACTCTTGCAAAGCCTGTCTGGAACCATGTCCCAACACCAGCCAAGTCTTTCATGTCCATATTCTCTCACATGGGACACCTGTCTCTTCTTACACCAAGGCTTGCCGTGGGCAGATGACATCCTTGCTCCACCTCCAGATTACGCCCCCCCCCCCACCTTTCCTTTCAAAATTCCAGTTCATTCCTAGCACATTCGTCTGACCTCATGACCCTCCACGTGGATAATGGCTACCCAGCTCTTCTTTGATAGCTTTTGAGTCTCCATCTTCCTCCCTTGAACACCTGATTTCCTTCTGGTAATGACTGCACATCAACAGCTCCCTTGCTTTGGCCTGGCGACTTCCTCATTTCCCGCTACCTCTGCCTCCACCCCATCTGACCCTTCAGTGCCAAGGTCATTGCCTCCGCTTGGGTCGTTGCAATGCTGGTCACAGCCTCTTCTACACAAGTTCCCTGGCTACCCACTGACTTGCTCTAGAACCTTGCTCAGCAATGATCACACCTTTAGAACCTCTGGTCCGTCCCCTCCCCCACTACCTCACTGTCTACCGACTGCTCTCATCCAACCATTCTGCAGACTGGCTGGCTCCACCTTGAGGGCAGCCCACATTCTCCATGCCCCCACCTCAGCAGGGGCTCCCGTCCTCACTCAAGCTCCCATTAGCTCTCTTCTAGGCCATCCTTGTGGTCAGTGATCTTTTCTACATGGGCCATGCATCCCTCCCTGCTGAGGACCCTCCCAGAGCCTCCATCTCACTCAGAATAAAAGCATGTGCCCATGCCTCTGAGGCTGCCTGTCCCACCTTAGCACCCATGACTGTCCATGCTCAGTCCAGCCCCACTGGCCTTCTTGCTGTTTCTCAAAGATACATACCATAGGGCTTCCTTACACCACACCCTTCTTCTGAAATGCTCCTACCCCAGATTGCCATCTGTCCTGTCCCAACTTCACTCTCCTCCCCTCTCCTCAGAGAGACCTTTCCAGACCCCTATCTGTAACATTAACCTCCACCCCATCTTTGCCTCATTCTGGCCCCTTACCCTGCTTTGCTTTCCTCCACAAAACTTACTGTGGACAAAATTATGTTTCAGAGTTTGCATTCGCTGGTCCATCTTTCCCACCAGACTGTGAAACCCACATGAGCAGGTGCTTTGTCTTGCCCTCTGCTCCACCCCCAGATTGGAGAAAACAGCTAAGGCCTAGATCGTCTAGAATACAGTATGTACTCGGTCCTCATTTGGGGAATGACTGAATCTTTCCTCAGTTCATGGACCATGTAGTTATGCAAATGACCAGAGAATCTGATCATGAAGAAAGAGCACCTATGAAGAAGCAGGTACCCTTCCCAAAGTGATGATAAACACAGGCCGGGTCTGTGGGAAAGCGAACCAAGTGAGACCCACCAGGAGCAAAGAGTAACTCAGCTCAACCAGCTCTCCATGCACGCCAGGAAGATGCGATGCCCACCGGCTGGCGCTGCTTTCAGAAAGCCTTCCTGGGCAAGAGTTGACTCTCAACAAGAGTCTTCCCTGGAGAAGTGCAACACGCATGACCAATTGTGTATCAGACCAGATCACTGCCGCCTCCTCGTGTTGGCCTGGTCTCCAGGAATTCATCTTTAAAAAGGATCGGGTTTTGTTTGTAGCAAGTGGCAGATGTTTTGTGTGAATGGAATTCTCACTGGCCAACCTCCCATGATGCTTTGGTGCTGAAACCAACACCCCTTCCAGAAGATCGCAGCCCTCCTAGGCAGCCAGCTCTGCACAGCTTAGATTCTGGCCGTCAGGGCACCAAGGGCCATGCAGCAGTAGGCAGCGAGGGCACTGAGCTCCATCGTCCATCTACATACCTTGGGTGGGCACAGAAGCCCAGACCTCCTCCCTGAAGGCATAACGCTGTCCGGAAAGCCCTCCAAAGCAGTATTTGATACTGAAAAACTGGATGTCCCTGTATGATTCGTCATAAATACAGCGAACACAGCAGGGATAACCACTCTTCAAGTACCGAAGGCTAACGCCGATGAACCGTGTCTTCACCAGAGTGGGCCTTGCCTCCAGCTAGTCCCCCTAAAGATGAATCGGGGACTGAGGGTTAGGAGGGCTGGGTGGTGCTCCTTGGATAGAAAGCCCATGCTCTCTGGCCAACCATGCATTCCTGTCTGTCCCCGAGAAGGAGCCGAGGCCGACAGCTTCCCAGGCAAGATCAGCACTTAAAGTATTTCCCTCGGACGACTCGGCATCAACAGAGCCAACCCAGCAAGGAGAAGGTCTTTTCAAGGGCCAGGTACTAGCACAGATAAGGGAACGACCACCGCTTCTTCCGAAGTCGGTCCTGAAGTCACTGGATAGGTAGGGACTGTGGATCAGTTGACATACATCATTGATAAAATGTATGTTCTCTGATCAACCATCCATTCCCCTATCATGGACAACGCCCTGCTGGAGTCTTGTTGGGCACGTCTCCAGGTGGGAGCCTGTCCTGAAAAAACAGCAGCTCGGAAGTGATTAGCCACCAACACATTCAAGTCCCAACAGTCAGCCCGACACCACCCAGCCCGAGGGGGAGCATCAAGGCCCCATGCTATAGCTGGGGGACCGCGGGACTTAATCCTGATGAAGGCCCAGGCTCTGCCATGGACCGTCCTGTCAAGGACTGGGGCAGGTAATTCTCCCAAAGCTGAATTATTCAGGAAGAATGTGACGCAGCACCCCATTCATGACCAAGGAAGCATGACAGAGATGCTGCCGTGGCCAGTGGTCAGCACCTGCTTGGGAGTGGCAGAGTAGGAGCCTCCCCCGCCCCCGCCCCCGCCCCCGCCCCGCCCCGCACCCTCCCTAAACCTTGGATTGACACCGACAACAAAACCTTTCCCTGGAAGAGATGTCCTTTTCTCCAGGAGGTCCTCACGGAGCTGGAAGACCACTTCGAGTGTGCCACAAATACACACCACAACTCTTTCCGAGGGAGCTGGGGCGGAGCTGAGCACGAAATGGCCTGGCCCCCAGAAGTTCCTGAAAGAGGACAGTGTTCTTCGGGACCATGGACCTACCTCCCTGCAGGTACTATGGGACGGGACTGACACCCATCCCTTCCCTGAAGGTAGGACACCTCCACATCACCTTCCATGGCACCAGTGCAAGGTCAACTGGTCACCAACAATGAAACAGCATCCAGATGGTCCCTCGTCACCCCCACGTGCTGACGCTGACAACGTCGGCACCCCATGTCCAGAGCTGGCATCTCTCCTGGGGCTTCTCCTGCGGGTGGAACGGACTCTGCGTTAGTGGATGGGAGGCACAAGCATCAGTAACAGGCCCGGGCTCGACTGTGTATTCACGTACCTTAGGGCCAGGCTGACAGACTGCTTACGGGGAAGCTGGAGCCCCCAACAGGCACCCATCCTGAACTGACTCCAAGGAAGGACTCACTGTGCTGGTCACCACATGGGCCCTCCTCCCCCATAAGCAGGAGGATCCTATCGGCCGCGCGGTCTTCCCCACCAATGAGCAGAGGGAGAGCAGCGGGAGCGGAGAGGAAAGGCCCCTGGCTCTGCGACAGCGGCTCCTGGAGTCCATCTGCTGAGGAAGAGGACAGCAGGGTAGTGGTCTCAGGGAGAAGCAGCGGGTAAGCAGAAGCTGACCTGCCCTTCACACACCTGGGCCAGTGGCCAGCGTCCAGGGAGCCGTCTGGGTGCCTCTTGACCCTGGAGCACAGACTGCCCTCGGAGAAGTCTTGGAGAAGGAAGGAAGCTCGCAACGTCCCCATGGAGCAGCGACCACATCCTCTCCAGCGTGGCTAGTGAGCCCCAGGAGCCACCCTGCAAAAGACTCGAATGGAGGTCAGGGTCAGTGCTGCGGGGAACTCTGCCCCTGGGGTCAGGGGCACAGTCAGGCACCCAGGGACCCACCCTGCAGTCCAGGGACACAGAGGCCCACCCCCAGGGTCCCTCTCTCCCAGGCAGGTCAGCATTGACAGGGGGTAACTGGACAAATGGTAAAAACACATCAAATTCACTGCAAAAACACTGCAAAACAACCCCGGCTTGTCGCATGCTGGCCTCCCTGCCGGGAAGCGCACCCTCGGGGCACACGGCTCACACAAGGCACACGCTCTCACGTCTCCTGTGCGGGTGGCCCTCGAGGCAGAGTTTGATATTCAAAAAGAGGTTAACCATGTATTATTCATGATGAATGAAGCGAACATAGCACGGATAACCTCTCCTCAAATATCCCTGAATATTCTGAAATGAAAACCACGGCCGCTTCCCCACCGTCGTCGTTGCCTCCTCTTCTCAGGATGAGCCGAG